TTTTAAACCTTCACAGTGTTTTTGCTGTGAAGGTTACGTGTAAAAATGTGGTCTCACGGGTCTCACGAAAACAGGCTGGTCTCACGTGAACCCAACCCTATATATATATATATATATATATATATATATATATATGTAAATTAATTGAGGAAATTAATTCAATGTGATATACGTGGATTTAAAAAGTATGGATAAGTTGTATCAAATGATTTATGATGAAAAAGAAATTATGAGTAGAGAAATAACGTATTGAAATATATTTCAATGTTAGGAGAATATATTAATGTACCAAAGTATCAACTTAGTCAACTCGATCAATTTGGATTGGATTGGGTTGCACTTTGGTTTGAATTGGATTGAGTTAAGATTTTTCAGATTGTAAGCATTGAGTTGGGTTGTTCAAATGTCAACTCGTTCAACCCAACTCATGAGCACTCCTACTAGTAATCATAAGAGGAGTCTTGGTCGATTAAAAGATTGTTTGGTAGATTTTTCATTAAGTCTTGTATGAATAAAGTTGTTTGTATTTATTTATTTATATAGATTTGGGAAGTTTTTGTTCAAAAGGGTTTTTCATAAATAAAATAAGTCCGATTTTTAATTTGGAGAAGAAAAAGCTTAGTTTACTGCATCAAGTTTTCTCAGTTGCTCCTAGAAACTTACTGAATAAGTTATTTTCTATATCATTAATTTACTATCATACAACAATGCATAGTTGAATGAATAAGAGGCGAGTTTCATTAAACTTATTAAGTTATTAACAAACAAGCCCTAAATTAACCTTAAGCTTAAACGATTTGGCATTTTAATTACGTCTGATCACATTTTTTATAAATACATAACATTTAGTTCGCCAACAGTTATTTAACTTATGTTTAAAAATATATGTTTTATTTTATTTTGAGTAAATTGCAGATTTCGTCCCTGTGGTTATATGAAAATTTAGATTGGTTCTCTAAACAATTTAATTACATACATGGTCATTGTGGTTTTATTTTTGTTATGGATTTGGTCCTACATCTAACTCCATTAACCAGAACTCTGTTAATTCAAGGACATTTTGGTCCTTTTACTTTTCTTAAAATAAACACATAAACATATACACACACATATTTAAGCATCCATCAATGACGACTATGCCGACGACCCCTCTTCTCCAGTCATGCTACCCCCTCCCTCCCTTTCTTCTTCGCCATCACAAACGAACACACAGTAAGCTGGTGATGTTTTTTTTTCTTTTCTAATTCTTGCCTTCTACAAATACACTACACAAAAAAATGTTGCATCTGCTTCTTAATAAAGTCATTGAAAACCAAAAGAGGGAGGAATAGATCCCACATGCATATCCATAATCAAAACCCTGAATCGCCATTTTTTGAACTTCAAAGATCAAAGACATACAAGTTAAATCCAGAAAACACACAAAAATATCAATCAAAAACCTAAAGCATTACTTTCTTTATCTGGGTCTGGTAAAATCGTTGTCAAGATTGTTTTTTTGTTGAATGTTCAAAATTTTGATTCCACCATTGATGAATCTCGATGCGGATCCAAATTTCAACTTAATTAAAGAAATATTATACCATTAGTTTTGATGTAAAACTATTTTTATATTATTAAAATTGAGATTATAGATATGTAATTAATGATGGTTGAACATTGCCAAATTAAAAGTTTTATACGAATAATGTTATATATATATATATACCCAACTTTGTATTAAAAAAAGCCAGCAATTAAATCGTAATATTCAATTATTTTTCGTCCATATCCACATGGAAATCGTTAAGAAGCTGCCGTAATATAAAAGAAATAAAAAACTCACTTGTCTTCAGCTTTTGTCTTATTCTTGCTTTCCTTCGCATGACCAAACCAAAAAACAAGTATAAAAACATATGGACCACCCATGGGTCATGATATATATATAGAGAGACTTGGATAATATGTATCATGTTTTTGTGAGATCTACGTGTGAACATATTTTTATATTTGAAACTTCATAATAAAATATTGTGAAAATAATTTTTATAGCATTTTTGCTGTAAAGGTTCACATTTATTTTACATTCAAAGCAAAAACGCTGTGAATGTTACCTTTATAATATTTTGTTGTGAAATTTCAAGTGTAAAAATGTGGTCTTATGGGTCTCATAAAAGCAAGCGGGTCTCACGTGAATCCAACACTATATATATAGTCAAAGGTTGTTTTGAGAAGTGATAAATATTTAAGAAGTAAATAAGTGATTCTAACCCTTTATACGATCAAGATCGGATTTGACTGGTAAAAATTGTGGCTATTTGAAAAATAGAAGCGTTGGTTTCGTAACTTTTATAAATAGTCGGCAAACGGGTTCATATGTGAACCTATGTGATTCACATATGAACTAATTACTGATTTAGATATGAACATGTGGGGTTCATATATGAATTAGTTAAATAGTTCACATATGAACTAATTAACAGGTTCACATATGAATGTATAGTTCATATGTGTATCACATGAGTTCATATATGAACCCATTTGCTGCTTATTTGTAAAAGTTACGAAACTTTCCCCTATCTTCTGCATACCTATTCGATGAATTATCCAGTCTTCATGATAAGAACCGCAAATGTTGACCAGATAAAGGTTTTTAAATACGATTTTTCTAATTAATACAAATCATATAAACCAATCTCAATCTTCCAGATTAATGAATATTTATTTTGATATATATGAGGACCTTATATTTTATGATAACTGTAAGAACCACTAATCAATAGTTATTAATGAAACAAGGTTTTTCTTGCTATTTTAT